TACACGATTGTCTTATTATCACAACTGTGTTAAATTGGCCATCATCTGATTATAATAATTAAAATCATGCTAAAATGTTAATTACACAAACGAATCTATCCAAAGAAAGTATGCTTCGTTAAAGCGAATCCAGTGGGAATTTGACATAAGCGGTCTGTTTGCTATGCTTTCACAAAACATGAATACATTGGTATACAGACATTGTACAGTAAGGGATCCTCTGAAATAAAGAAAAAAAGACATGCTTTACTATCAAGTTGCTTTGAAGTAGCATCGTTAACTTCACATCAATGTATCATTATTACATCGTAACTATAGAGCATTATTTTTAACTTTGTGATTTACAATGAAATATCTTACTGATGTTTAAAGAATTTCTGACACCAGAACTGACATATGCGGCATCAATAATTGTATTTTCATAAGGGGCTTTAAATGGCTTTTCGAACGGACATTGTCGAACAAATTAAGAGGTCAGAAATTAAGGCGCCACATGTGATGTCAATTGGGAACACTGTTGCGTGTCACACATTGAATCATTGCCCGAAACACACAAATTGTGATATGTTTTTTATTTGCTACTGATTTACGGCAATTATTATTTCAATTAATGCTTTTTGAAATAAACAACAATAGCAACAACCATGTAATTTTACATTTAGCACTACGAGTAGAATAACAGTTAAAAGTTGTCAACTTTTCATATTAAATGTATGCAAAACAATCGTGATTATATGTGACGGGATATATTATTTTTATTAACTTATGTAGTAATGTTAAAAAGAAATATAGTCCATTAATAGGCGAAATCAAACGGAGCCTGCAACATTTTAAATTTTGCTATTCGGGTGTTTTGAATTGAATTATTCATTCGAAAGTAAATTTAACCGGAAATAAATCTAGCCTTACTGATGTCAGGCATCGTGAAAAAAAACACATGAAATGTTAATCATTTACAGGTACAGAATGCAGATTCAAATTTCTTTTTAAGGAGTTACCCTAAGCTGTTAGCATATCTTCTTTACATGAAAGATTATCCTTAGCCCCAGACAAAAGATTCAAACACTCAGGGGCGAGGGCCGTAATTTGAAATCTGTGACTTTAATAAGTTGGCCATAAAGGGCCTTAGTTAAGAATAATTTATACATGTACAACGAAATAAATATAACGACAGCGGTATTTCAACATTAGGGCCAAGATGGCACTAGATCGCTCACCTGACCCATCGAGCTCATTTGAGCAATTACTTACACTAGCATCCTGACCAAGTTTGATGACAATTGAGCCACTAGAGTGTTAACAAGGTTTTTCCAAAGTTGGGCGTTTTGACCCTAGGCGACCCATATTCGAATTTGACCTCTAAATTATCAAAACAAGCTTTCAGACAAATTTCCAGCATATTATGATCAAAACAGTAGGCACAAAAGTATTAACAAGATTTTTATCTTTTTGGCTCCTGTGACCTATTTTTTCATCCGAGATGACCCATATTTGAACTCATCTGAGCAATTACCTAGACAAGCATTATGATGACTGAGACAGAAATGTGACCACTAGAGTGTTAATGAACAAATGTGGACGGACGACAGACGACAGTCGTAAAGGTGAAAACGTGAACTGGAGATGAAAAGTAGAAATGTCCCCATCAATCTTTTGGAAAAAAAAATATAAATTTCTTCTGCTTGGTGAATATAGTAGAATGTTTAGCGACAAAACAGCCCTAACTAATTAATACGTCAAGCTCGCTATGTGCGGGAGTAAGCTAGGATTTAAGCCTGTGAGGCAGAAACCGTTACTAACCTTTATTAGCTTTTACTTCATAATCTTACAGTCGAACTTTCTTGGGGATGGGGTTAAAATACAAGAGAACCAAATGAAGTATGTGTTTTAGAGTTTGTCTGTTAAATAACCACCTTTGACAAAACTTCTGAGTAAAAAGGGGCATTACTCCAAAAATATAGATGTCCCTTGCCAAGCCCAACAAATTGTGCGCTTTAGGGCTTTTATTATATAGACGATGGTAAAAACAGACATCTATAAAATATGAGATTATGAAATTGGTAGGTCTTGCAGTCGAAATATTGAGACTAGGCCCTTGCCTTGTCATAATAAGCAAGCATTACAATTTTCCTATTGATACCTTTACTAGTTCCTACACGAAAACCCAAGCACCCCGAAATTTAAAATTTTTTTCCGGGCTTTTTTCTTAAAGAACAGTCGACCCAAAAAAATGGGGGCAAAAACATATAAACTGTGCTGATATAGTTTTAAAAAGAAAATAACTTTTATGGGGAAACAATTTTAAAATAACTTCTTTGTTTGGGGTTTACGGGTAAAAGGTTGAGTATTTAAAAATGTACAAATTATTGTCACTAAAATAAAAGAAGAAAAAAATTAAACTTCACTAAGTTCGAAACTCGTTTTAAATGTTTTACTTTTAAAAACCATTGAAAAAAGGAAAAATTTGTCTTTTTTAAAAAGGGGGGTGTCACTCTTTAAATAAAAGGGCCCAAGTTATTACTGTTTTTGGGAAAAAAATTTTTTTGCTTGCATACCATTTCCCCCAAAACTCCTCCCAAGCGCCCAACCCGAAAAAGAAATCGGAAAATCTTTTCATTTAACCCCCTACCCCCCGGGGCCCTCACGAAAGGGCCCCTTTTTTGGAAAAATACCAAAGAGAAACTTTTCCCTTTCAAAAAACGCCCCCGTCCAAACCCGCCCAAACCGAGTAGACCGGCGTAATAATGGAAAAAAAAGGGTAGGGTTTAAAAGGCAGGCCCCTTTTTTTAAAAAAATGGCCCTTTTATCCCGGGAATTTTTGTGTCTTTTTTTTAAAATAGATAAAAATAAAAAATTTTCTTGTTTCCCCTAAAAAAAAAATTTAAAATGCTGTAAAATAAGAGTAAATACTACGGGAACCTTTTAACTTTCCAACGAAATAAAAATTCACCCCATCACTTTTTTTTGGGAAAATTTTCCTTTTTCTGCCCTCAACTTTCAAATTTCAAATGACAATCAAGTTTTCTATTTTTTCAGGTAGGTGTTTATTAATTTCATTCATATCCTCACTATAAAACAATCACCTGAGAATATTGATATAATAAAAATGGCGTCTATTTCACCTGTCATGAAGGTTACTCAGTACTTTTTTTAAACGCAAACATGTACACTCCAAACAAGGGGTCATCATAGGTGACTACAAAATTGTCTGAGTCATTTATAAATGTTTTAAATTTTTCAAATTCTGTTTTTGGTTTTATATCACAACCTGCAATCTGTACTGTTACTGTATGTGGTAGTTTGTTAATAACAGTAATGAGATCATATAACACTGAACAAGACATTGTCATATGATACAAGTGAACACGTTCAATATTGATCATTTCAGGTGTCAGTGTTAATGATCTTTCACCTAAATTGATTTCACACAACCCAACGTGTTTCACATGATGACACAATTTTAATGATTGTAACATTGTGTCTATGTCACTGGAAGATTCTAGATAACTACAATAAAATGTGTGTAGTTTACTGGCTGCTGGTAGTTGATTGAGATAAGATGACACAACACCAGGTTTGAATAATTCACCTACACCACATTTTTCTAACAACGATACATCCATGTTTAATTGTGACACAGGTGTATAGTTCAATCTTATACATCTTAGTTGTGAATGTTGAGACAGGTCAAGGTTGAATCCCCTACATGAATTACCATGATCACTACAGTTTAAACTGTCCAATGATATTTCTTTCATTAATTTTGTTCTAGTGAGGAAATTGAACAATGCCTCCATTACCTCGTGGCTCATAATAAAATAGTGTATATTTAAACACTCCAGGTGTTGCAATTTTACCAGTCGTCCATTTATCTCTGCAGACAGCCGGCAAGATTTTTCTACAAATTTATGATTTTCCCATTCACTTGACATCACTGTTAAACATTTTAAAGGCTTCAATAACAAGCTCATTATTTCCTCTTCTACAATTTCACCTTCATAGTATAGTTTCTCTATATGTGGAAGGTCAGAGAGTGTAAACAAATTGATAATTTCTTGTTGACTATCAATACCTTTATTTTCTATAGTTATTGATTTTATGTTTTCTTTATTTTGCTGACACAAATATTTTAATTTATTGAAGTAGTTTTCTTTTTGACACTTTTTATAAATGAAGAAATCTTGTAAACACAATTTGAGGTCGTTGTTTCCCTTTCCTTCATTAGCACAAAAAATGTACATGTCTTGTATGCCTTGTAATGGCTTAATGAACAAGGGATCATAATATGTCATAGTTCTGTATTTGCTTGTTTTGTCATCATTGTTTATCATAGGCATCAAATCACTTGATATTGTAGACATTAATTTAGGATTCATGTTACTAATAAAGACAAACACTGTTGACATTTCTATAATATTTTGTAAACAGTTACACTTTTCAAAGATGATTTTCTGAACTTCACTTTTATTTTGGAAACTTATATATATTGCTGAAAAGTATTCTTGCACTGATTTATGTGAAAATGAGATTTTATAACTTTCATTTAATAATGTTGTTACTCTACTTTCTGATAATATTCCTGACAGACAACTTGATTTCAAATCTTCTTGGTTAAGATAATTTTCTGCATCATTTTTATCAAAAACTAATGTGTGCTCATTTTTCTTTCTGAACAATGTATGAAAAGCTAGTTTCCCAATGGTAAGCAGAAACGTGTAGTAGCTACAGAAATGTTTATGTGTTCTGAAACATGCAGGGGGACATTACCAGGGGATGTTTCAGATGATGAATGAAACTTTCCATGTATTTTTTTCTGTGTTCTAGATAGAAGGAGCTGAATAATGCTTGTATATACATTAACTTCTGAATTTCCTATTGGAATTTTTTCAAACCCATAAACATATAAGATAGAGTAAAAAGAAGAGGGGTGGATTCCATATCTTCAAGGTCATGGTTACTAATTTCCTCTTCAAATCTACACACATCATTGATCAAGATTTTCAATCTTCATTGTTTCGTTTCAATATTTTCATTGCGTTTAGATTAAACTCCCTTGTTTTGTCTTCATTTAGTTTAACTAGCTCTATTGTTTTATGAATTTGACTTATCTCTAAGTTTGAGACTCCAAGCTTCCATGGCCTGGTCGTTGTTAAGATTACACATTTATCACGTGCATATCGATGAGGAACACTTTTAGGAAGTTTTGTACAATTGTTATCAGGATGAGTCCATTCATCAAGTCCATCTAATATAACAAGGCATTGTTCATCACGTAAAATATCCTTTAATAGATCCTTCAAAAACACTTCCGGCATTGAAGATGAGCATGGAAGATATTGTATGACTTGTTGTTCAATCATGTTGTCGACATCGCAGACTTTAGCGGAATCTCTCAATATAATTAAAAATAAAAACTCGAAGCCAGATACAGCCTCTAATTCTTCATCTTTAAAAAGGTTATACATTTCATCATTTTTATGAGCTTGACACCATGTTATAGCGAGATATTTTGAAAATGCTGTTTTCCCAAGTCCAGCGACTGCTGATAAATATATTTCCAGTGGAACATTCCTACCCGATGTAAGCAGGTCCCCTAACGACTTGACCCTAGTTGTTTCTTTCCTTCCATCTGGAAGATTTGTCTGTATGTCAACTTCTGGCATAATGTAGAACCCGGCAAGAGGGGTAGGGAAAGCATCTGTGAGTGGTGAAAGATGAACTGTACTATGTTTGGTGTTGTACCATGTTATTAGTTCATACTTCAGTTCTGAAATAGAAATAATTGACATTTTATTATTATTCATTCATGTGTTGAAATAAAAACAAACATTGATATGATTTAATTAGTTCTAATGGTGTCTGTGTGTACATATATATTTTAATACAGGTATATTAAAAAAAACACTTAGCCTCACTAGCAAAACAAATCGTTTTGAAACAAAATATAAAAAAAGTTTGTTCTTTAACTATCCCTTAACGTTACTTTACATTAAAATAAATTGGACATACAAAAATATTGAAATTGATACAAATTGTATTCGTCTGCCTTTTTTCAACTCAAATAGCAGACGGACACAACTTTTAAATAATTTGTACGAAATATATAACTAAATTCACACAAAAGGTCTTAAGAATACATTTTTGCTGTATTCTCTGAGGATCTCACTTGATATTTTTTCTACTGTATACACTTTTTTAAAAAAAATCAACTTTGGTAGCCACGGTCATTATTAAATTTAAAATGCACCTAAGAAACTGTGCACTGGCTCATTAAACTATTAATAGTACAGGCTTTGAAAACTGTATTGATATATAACAGTGCAGTCTTTTTATTGGTTCATTCAGGACAAAAACTCAACTAATATATAACAGTTGAGTTGTTTTTTCGCATCTGTCTCTATTATTGGCTACCAATATCACAGACACTTGGAGTGTGGAGCTCAAAACGCCATTAAAATCCAAATAAAATGCATATTTGTCAATCCCAGCACATGTACTGATCATATATATCAAAAAAACTTAATACGTCGTATAAGCCGTTTTGAAAAAAAAATATTTCAACGTCTATAAATGTATTATTATAGACGTTGAAATACGATTTTTTTTCAAAACGGCTTATATTAAGTTAATAGTGACCTTGACCTTTGACCTTGTAACCCAAAAATCAATGGGGTCTTCTAGACAATATGGACAATCATTCTATGAAGTTTGAATACTATAGGCCAAATGGAACTTAAGTTATGCTCCGGTAACCATTTTCAGTTTAAGGGTAATAGTGACCTTGACCTTTGACCTTGTGACCCCAAAATCAATAGGGGTCTTCTACTCAATATGGACAATCATCCTACGTTATGCTCCGGAAATCAAATTGCTAACGGACGGACGGACAGACGCCAGGGGTATAACATGCCCTAAACTCTTTCGGGCATATAAAAATCAAATCCTTTCATTTGAACCGAGCGACAAAATGACATCGCGACAACTCGCCACAAGACAACGTGCTATTTGGCGTACATAGTAAGCGACATGACGACAAAACGAATATTTAATACGCTAACACGACGCACAAAAGCGTTCCAAATTTGCCACCATAGTTAGGTAGCTGTCGGAAGCATCTGGGAGTTAACATGTGAAACGGCACAAGAGAGAAGTGCACATGTTGTTTTTGTTTTTTGTTTTGTTTTTTTCTTTGTTTGTTTGTTTTTTTATTTTTTGCTGATTTTTATTACAAAAAAATGAAATTGCGATAAATAGTTATGATATATGAAACGGTATAACCCCGGTTGTGGCGGCATCTCGGTATGTATTTTGTATGCAGAAACATCCCTCGATGTCGCTCAAGCTAGTGTTATATCCTCGTAACTAACTCGTTTCATATTATAACTACTACTTGTAAAATTGATGCAGAAAGAAAAAGAGTCATCAATACTTTGTTATCATTGAGGCTGTACTCTCTGGTAATTCAAGATGCCCACTTCTAAAAAGTGACACTCGAGGTCTCTCTTCTGGAAACCCGTTATATGACAAGTTCGATGCGAGTTAAAAAAGACAACCAAAGGAGAAAAACAACTGCTGCGGAAATATAACTTGTATGGTAAAGGACTCGTGAGAATCGATTACAAAGAGTAATGTGGTATATTGTCCCGATGTTTGAGTTTTTCTATGAAACTTAACGTTCATTTATTTAAAGACTATATGATAAAATAGGCAACACAAGCAGGAATAGGACATTTATGAAAAATAATGAATGAATGAATAATAGACTTTATATAACAAACCCGTATTATTCGAATGTACCCACTATCACATGATATTATCAATTCTATATAAAACCTTATCAATTTTATATAATATACATGTATAATTTCCTCCTCTTGGTACTTGTAATGTGTATTTAATATAAATTCTCAAACCATATAATTTAAAAGGAGCATTGACTTCACATTAATAAGTGCAAAACATATTAAAACAAAACGAACAACATAAAAAGCAATCATAGCTTCAATAATGTTGAACAATTAAATAAGAAAAAAACATGACCTACGCGGTCTTGATCTTACAACACGTAGTTTACCCTATTGCGCAATAATATGTTCACAAATACAAATTATCACAGCTCCAAGAAGGGTCCCACCAAACACTGCTAAGGAGACACAAAGGACTGCTAAGGAGACACAAGGGACCTTAAAATATCTCCTAGGGCCTTAATTTTGATAGATTAGTAAATTTCAATCCCCCCCCCCCCAAAAAAAAAAAAAAAACATTTTAAAAGAAATGCCATGGTAGAGATACTAACAAGTATATTTCTATATTCGGTGAGTAAAATGGTAACACAAAGGACTGCTAGTGAGGTATTATGTGCATTTAAAAAGTACTGAGGATCTTGATATTGCTAGTATAACATATTTATGTATGTAAGGTGATAAAACATGTATTATTTTGTAATTTTGGTTATGGAAATTATGTTTTAATGAGTTGCAGGCCTGCTTAGGACTGATATGGCTGCACAAAGGACCTTGTAATAAATCCTTGGGCCTTTTTATTTATAGATTAGTTAATTTTAACCCCCTCCCCCCCAAAAAAAAATTATTATTATAATTATTATTTATTTAAAAAATGGCAATTTAGGGATACAAATTATGTATAATTGTTAACGTGCCTGATTAATTTAATAAGCAGCCTAAACATCAGCCATAGTATTGTAAATAAACTTCAGCTATAGTATTGTAAACAACTTCAATAGCCTGGAGGCGTACCAGCAGGGTCAATTGAATTACATTAAGACATTAAGTAAGTAACTAGCGGCGGCTAGTAGATATGCATTTGCCCATTCGGCAATGGAGAAATTTTAGTCTTTGCTTTTGTTTATTCTTTTTCGTTTGTACAAAATTACACTGTCTTCAGATTTTCTGGAAAAAAAAGCTTTTCTGATGTTTAACATGTCAACGAGCTTTAAACAAATTTACAATTTAAAATTCAAAATGGATCGATTTGAAGATTTTAAGTTCAGTGTACAAACATTACATTATGCCTTTGTTAGATGGCATTTCTTGACACTAAAGGCTAGGTGGATTTTGGTATTTTAAACGCGATTTATTCAATTTATTTTGACTCAAGTCACCTTTCAATCTTTTTGGCAACAGACAAACATTGTTTTTTTTTTTCAAACTTTCAGACATGTCATTACTTTGTGAATTTATATATTAGGTTTTACTTTTTCACAAAAATATGTAACTAAATAAACAATGGGCAAAATTTATTTGTGCTTCGGATATTCAATAATCAATAAAGAACAATTATCAAGGCTGATTTTGTACAGTACCTGTTACTGTTCATATCATTTGGCGGCGTCTTTGATGTGCAGTATTAACATTTAACTTGTTATTTAGTGAAATCTTATCAATTTAAAACATATGACCAGTTTAAATGACAACTATTGGCGCGCAAGATTTATTTTGTAAAGGTTAAATCTCGCTACTTTTTCTATTTACTAGAGCTTTTAATTATGATATAGATATACTTCTTAATCAGAATTAAGAAAGCACTCAAATGATAAATATTTTTGCACCACATTATACTCATGTTTAAAGCCAATAAAAGTTTAAATAAAACATTTTTATGCTCTATAATGGAGATGATAACTAATATGATTTGTTTTGAGTACTGTGTTATCTAGAACATACAGATAAATACTAGGTAATAATCAAGATATTCAATATTTCTTACCATCGCATGTAAACATAACTTTGAAATATATTCATGTATGATGATTACACGTGTACATAACAATGATATACTATGTCACTAATCCTTTCAGATTCTTTAATTTCCAATGGCTTTGTACATGGTAGGACATATTTGTCATTATATATTGCCAAACATACAAACATATCTTTAGTCAATAATATTGTTTTAAAATCTATCCATGTTAACTTAGCCTCTACAATGCAGAAGAAAAGTTTAAGGCATATAAGCACAATTTTGATACATTTAGGGATTACATATGCCTTGATTTATATCGTAGTACCGTATTATTATAATAGATTGTGTACGTTTATTTAACTGATCAAATGTTTCAATATTTTTTAATGCCAGTGATCTTTTGTTAATGATTGCTGACATCCTTTTCGTTTCAGTTCAATTTTCCTTTAACATATTTATGTTAGATGAATAAGACAATGTGTTACAGTAATATCATTATATTTTGCCACCCCGAATAATTAAATCACGTCACAATTTCCAGATGATTTAACACTTGTTTTCCACACAGAGTGTCCACAATACTTATCTTTGAAGAGGCAAGCCAAGTTGTTTCTTAATAAAACCAAAACATAATAAAAAATTTATGATGCCCTATAGTCATGTATGTTATTCAAACTACTCTGATATCGAGCATAAACAAAGGACAGAATGACATTAAAGTGTTCCAAGATTAAATGTTAAGATTTAGTTTGAATTCAACAAAAAATTAATTACATTGATTTCTTGCAAATTTAAAAAAGACAAAATATAAAACTTTATGACTTCTAGAAGCACAATATCTCTCTCCCATATGAAAAAAGTTTCAAATGTATTCATATATTTTTACAAGAGGAGCTAACAAAAGAATTATGCATTCTCAGTTTGTGTAACATCTGAAAGAAATGTCTTTGTCTAAGTTATAATTATACCTTCTGGTTCGCCTTTAATGTTTTGTGGTTTTGTGAGACAAGATCCTACAACGATAATTGCGTTTGCATTTAAAAAAAAACAGCCGTTAGGTTATTAAAGTTTTCAGAAGATTTTTTCACAGATAATACTGTATGGTATCAACATATACACATTTAACCTTTTATGCAAATCAAACCTTATTTAATGTTAGTTTATTCAAAATTATTAAGCGTAGGATTGTACTGATCTTGTTAAAGATTGCTTCGTTTTACAGCCGTAGGTCTAAACATACCCAGTTTATATTTTAAATTAATATGACAATATGGAAATAGATTTTAAACACTTCTATTACTTTTTTAGAAATGATATAACTGCCATTTTGATCTCAGAAGGACAACTTTTACGTTTAAACTTACAGCTTTATGACATATATATTATATTGCAAGTTAAAGACATCAAAAGTAAATAATATTAACTGGTTTTCTTAAGTGCCTTAAAAATACAGTTTAATTGATAGAAAGACCAGGAATTGTGAACGCAGTCCTAAATAGAATAAAAAACGCCCCAAGTCTGCCCCTGGTTTTATTTTTAAGGACATATTTAAACGGTTTATTCTATGAAAGTCCCTGGAGGGTCACATAAGACAGTTTGACTATGTATTGTGAAAACTTATAACCCCGAGGCTGGACCAATCAAGACCCAAAGGCTATATTTTAAACAAATATATAAGCACTCGCCCTTGAAGTTTTGAAGAAAAAGAAGACTAAAAGAAATTCTATATGCACAATTACATAAAATCACAAATAACCCCGAGAAAAAGGCCAATTTTCAACCAAGGGCTTTAGTTTGGTAGACGTCTACAAGAAAATGCTAAGAGCAAAATGACTATGCTCTAGGCATTGTGGTTCTTGTGCTTAAGCTTTGGTTTAAGTTTCTCCTTTTGGTAGTCATGACAACCAGATTTCTGCATCGAATCAGCCTCCTTGAACAACTTTGGAAGCCTTTCACCAAAGAATCCTGGCAAATTGAGTTGAAATTGGGAGGGTCCCAATTTGTGGTTTTAAGAAAAAGATCTATATAACCAAATTTTGTTTCCTATTTCTATCCTCTCCATAACACTGTTTATGTTTTCACAAAGGAATGTTTCAACAGGTTAAACACGACGAGAAAAGCACGGGGCTCTACGAACATCAATCAGTTATTGGATTATCAAAAGCCCTTGGAAATCATCTATACAAATAATCATCACCAATACATGGTAAATATAATAATAATGATAATCATCATCATCATCAACAACAACAACAACAACAACAAAAACAACAATCACAACAACACAAGTATCATTGTCATCATCACCATTATCATCGTTAATACATCATGAAAAAATTATCCTCACCAGTTCATCATCATACTCATCATCAGAACAACAACATCAATATTATAATTATCAACAGTTCATCATCATTTGAAACATTTAAAACACGTATTTATGATACAATGGCCTCGTTATAAACAGAAATTTCGTCAGTTCTAATGATACAACCACAGTCCCTGAGGTAAAAGTAGAAAAAACATTGAACATTAAGAGATATTATCTTTTTTACTATATAGCACAGTAAGCAAGACTTCTTATTCAGCTAATGGGTTAAACGCCTGGTAATGAATGGTTTATACTTTATTTAAGCTTTAATTTTTTATAATTAAAAATATATTACTGCTTGAAAACATTAAGATGTGGTTATTTAAATACACTTAAAATTGTTGTATTTTTGTCTCTCTAAACATTTGTTAAGTATTCATATTGCTATAAAAAAAGATTCAATCTGAAAAGAAAGAAAAAGGAAAAAAGATAGATGGGGACATAAATGAGATAAAATTTCTTCGATTTAAAACTACCGTCTTACTAATATTTCAAAAAACCTCTTCAAAAACATTATATAAAAAATCGAAGTGACACTTCAAAATGTTCATATTTTTTAACATTTTTGCTCTGAAAATATGCAGCTAGCTTTCCCACCAACGGGACCTTATATTATTGTACTATGGAATTCTTTCATCCAGTATGTTGTACAGGACAATATCGCGATCCGGAACGAACGGAATCCGGGATTGTATCAAACATACGGAGAAACGAATAAACTGCTTTCTTTTTAGCTCACCAGTCACTAAGTGACAAGGTGAGCTTTTGAGATCGCTGTTCGTCCAGCGCCCCTCTGTCGTCCGTCTTTGGTGATCACCTTTGAATTTTTTCAAAGAATTAAATTCCATGCAGAACTCTTGTTGCCATGTCAACCGAAAGACAGAAACTTACACAAATGTCCTTTAGTAAAACCCCAAAGAGCTAGAGCTTAGATATTTGACATGAAATATCTTTTAGTTTGCTCAAATAAAAGCAATGGGGTCAAAATTGGCCACGCTCCAGGGGTTATTGATTTTCCTTATATGTATATAGTAAAATTTTAAACAATCTTCTTTAAAAACTCAAAGAGCTAGAGCTTAGACATTGATCATGTAACATCTTCTAGTAAGTGTCTACCAAGTTTGTTAAAAAAAAGCCTTAGGGTCAAAATTGGCTCCACCCAGGCGGTCATTGATTTTCCTTATATGTATATATTAAAAACTTTAAAAAAATTTCATTTAAAGAACCCAAAGAGCTAGAGCTTAGATATTAAGCATGAAACATCTTCAAGTGAGTGTCTACCAAATTTGTTCAAATAAAAGCCCCTGGAGTTAAAATTGGCTCACCTCGGGGTTTTCTTAAATGTACATAGTAAAACAAAAGACAATATTTCAAAAAAAATCAAAGAGCTAGAGGTTAGATATTTAATGTTTTGTTGCTGCCAAATTTGTTCAATTAAAAGCCATGGAGTCAAAAATTGCCCTGTCCGGCAGGGTAATTGATTTTCCTTCTATGTATATAGCAAAAAAATATCTCCATTTAAAAAAAAAACAAAAAGCTAGAGCCTTGATATTCATTATGAAACATCTTCAATTGAGTGTCTACCAAGTTTGTTTAAAAAAGCCCTTGGGTCACAATTGATCCCGACCTTGATGGTCATTGATTTTCCTTATATGTACGAAACACGCAGATTTTTAACCCGATTCTGGTAAGCTCAAAATTTGATTATTTTAACAACCTTTTGCAAGGAACATGCATTCAAACTTACTCCTAACTACCAGTTTGTTCTTTATATTTATACATGCACGATGAACCGAAAGATTAAGACAGTTATTTATATACTGGAACAAATAAATTAAAAGGAAGAATAATTGCACATAACAGATATCCATGTATTCGACAATACGTTTTATAATCAGAAAAAACAGCATTATTAATTGTTTCCAATTTAGAATGTGCTACGTATCCCTATCTAAAGTGTATGTATTCCGTATATCTTTTAAAAGCACTGTGATGCGTAGCATTTTATTATAGCTTGATGAACTATTACTAAAACAGCACTGTATTTATAGATAAATGCGACATTCAAATATCGATACCAGATTATTAATGCTTAAATATGTATATGTATTTCAAACTACGTTTATGTATACCTTACAGGTCCAAACCAATGAATAGTTTTAACTAAATACAGAAATATATATATTAGCCTTGTCATTTATTTCAAAATGACAGAAAATTCGCCCTTACCGAAACCTTTAAAATAACAGTGTGTTCCGTACCATTTCAACATAACTTTATGAAAAGAGGCTTAAGCATCACTGCATTCACAAGATACATTGGACACAATTAATCTATAAGATTTGGCATACATTTTCTATGAAACGGTAAAAAATGCGAACGACTTACTAGAAATCGCTTGTAATGATTATGTACTGCACCCCTCGGCCTCGGCTTAGAAAAAAATTTGTACTCGAATGTTCTCAAAAACCATTTAGGGGTTTGTAGAATTTTTATTGTATAAATGTATTATTACAGACACTCTGCGCCTTGTCAAAATCGGTTGAGCAACAGCACAGATATTAATAAGAAAAACACAGCATAACTGAATCGGGTAAAAACTGGGCGTACTGTATGGTATGGCCACATTGATAAAATAACTGAGGAACTCGTTTCGTTCAGCAAAAAGACGCATGTAAGTGTAGCTTGTTATAGAATGCTATGGTGGCATATTTCTGTCAACAGTTAACCATGTAATTATCGTGTGTACTTTCAGAGAAGTAGATTTACCATTCCAGTTTATGTAAAAACCTAGCATTCCCAACGGTGGGTCATTTTACACATAACACTTGTAAAGGACCACTAGCTAAATATATAAGCTCTTTGCATGTCAGTTGCAATAAAAAATTAAATGGTTTATCTATACAAGACTATATAAATTCCTGAAGCGGGGCTAGTTTTCACCTCATGGGTATGATTAATATAAAAATTGTTGGGTAATGCAAATGCCTAAATCTAAGATATGGTCTTTTTCGTTTCTAAGAAGACGATTTTTTTAAAGATATTAATTTCAAAGTCACTGCTGTAACCTTCTTATGCACCAGACGGGAACTGTTTAAAGAACTTTTAAACTAGAAAACTAGTTAAGATATATTCCTGTATAGCATGGTCAAAAGCCATCAAATCGTTTTGGTAAAGAAATTGCGGACAACGACTGACAACGATCGAGGGATAGACTGCCATAACAAAACTCACTAGCTTTATTATTAAATTTAGATATTTTCATTCCGAACAATGTTGCCAGCAATATCCAATGTCCTAAAAGCAGTGAAATAAGATGCAATGTACACAAAAATACGTAATAGACCTAATAAATTGGAAAACAAATGTGTCATTTGATAAAATATTATATCACTTACTTTGCTTTGAATCGCGTCGTACTTTCTCCATACATTGTTCATTTATGACTAGAGTGCCATTTTCTAGCTGTAATTATAAATACCATAAAATGTACAATAAAAATTAATATAATCTGAAGTTTTAATATCAGTTAATTACAAAGGTTACATTTCAAATACATGTAATATCAACAGTCATTTTTTTTAACAAATACGTGTGAATGTTTGTCATCAATGATTTACAATTTCATTTTAGGCCAGGGACAATTTGTAAAAATAGTTTTGCCTTTTGAAATAAAATCTTGAATCTAATAAATTGTATTCTGATCAAAAGTATGAAAGGTTAAAGTGTGTTAAGCTGTAGAACACAACGAAGTGTTACCTTTAAAAACAATACAAATTGTACTTCCAAAATACATTTATGGAAAAACATCTTTGATACAGTAGGGTGAGCGTTTCAGTTAACACGATTACGCACGCCATGGAAAATACGCACGCACGTTACACACTATACGAACGAAAGTTACCCGCACGCTTTACCAAACGGAATACACAGACGCACGCAAAACGATATGCGCTAAACGAAATACGCTTAACGATGTACGCACGCTAAAACGCACGCAAAATTAAAACGTTTCTAAACGTTTAATAAAATATCATAATCATGTAATTTGTTAATAACTTTCGATCTTTTTAAGATATTTTTAATTTCTCAATGGTAACAGACGCATAACATGGTACTTAACAATTTAGACGAACGCAGACACACGCTAAACGTTTCTGGGGATAACAAACGCACGCATAAACGAAAACCGATAAACGTTAAACGCTTGTAAACGATGCACGTTTTAAAAGCGTTAATCAAACGCACGTTGCACGATAAACGAAAAACGCACGCACGAAAAACACTATTTTAGAAAACCGAAACGTTCATCCTATGTATATCTCCTTTCCAGCTATTTTGTAGAAACACTCATACAGAATACACTGTGTTCTACTCATCGATGAATTATTTAGCGTATCTCAAAACTTACCTCTGTAAGTTTATTTTTAGCATCCTGTGCATGCGTGTCTTTAGCTAAATACCCGGGATCAGAAAGAAGTTGCCTTAATAAATGGAAGTATTTCTTAAGATCTGAATCTTCTACTTCAGGTTTTGGAGAATGTCGCACATCTCTTCCAATGTCTCTTGCCTGTTCAAAATTTAATAACAATATTCATTTAAAGCTAATTATAAAATATACTCTTAACTGAAAACTGTAATGATCCATCATTTTATTGTTAACTATATAAAAGGTGATATTTTGCCAAAATATTTTGGAAAAAATATCTATGTTGGAAGTGTGGAAGGTGTAGACGTTTTAAAATTGCATTTTGTCATAACAAGATTTTTAAGTTTTTTTTGGTCAAAAAATGATAGAACATTGTATATATATTAAACAATATAAAAATATCAAAATCAGGTCAGATCACAAGTCAATTCAAACTCAGTAATTACACACCTGATCCAAATTTCAAATTTGTTTGTCAAAAAAAAAACAACAACAAGAAAATAGATGAAATTGTATCAAAAGTAGGTCAGCTGACCCAGTATCAATTTTAAATTCGGTATCAGAAATTACTCCCCTGGTCCAAATTCAAAGTCTGTACGTAAAAAAAAGTAGGTCAAATGATATAAAATTATTTAAAGAAAGTCAGTTGATTTCAAAGTTCAATTTGTTAAGCCTTTACGTCAAAAATGAGAAATAAAAAGAAAAAAATGTCAAATTATATAAACAAGATATGTTTGTAAAACATGTATGCCCCCTATCGGCAGCAAATTAGTCATGTGATCAGGTTATTATGACTGACTTTTGAGATGAAGACCAAAAAATCAATAGAGGTTAATTACTGGTTATCACTAGTCACTAGGTAATTGGGAACGCAAAGGTTGTGTGCAGTAATTTTATGACAAAGTTATTTCAAATCTTTCCATATTAATATATGCATAAATTTTATGAATCATGTAGGCCTCATTACTGACTGCCAAATTGCTATATTATATAAGTTGAAATGTGTATACCAAAAGGATTTTTAGTTTAATAAAAAATATCAACCATTTCAATTTGATTTGTTGTGTTATTGGTCAGAAACTATCTTTACATACAAGGTCAATATGACATAGACCTTTGACCCTTAAATCAATAGGGATTGTCTACTGGCCCATGAGTTGGGATATTGATCAGAAAGCGTTATTACCTATAAGGTCAAGATGATATTGACCTCTGACCCCTTAACGCCAAAAATCCATGGAGGCGGGGCCAAATTTGACCCCCAGGACTATAATTTGAAAACAAAACATGGTAGAATAGTATTACACATTGCTTCAAGCCAAAAACTAACCTCTTGCCTATGTCAATTCATAGAAGTGTTTTAAAAGCCTTTACTATATACATATAAGGAACATCAATGACCACTTTGCGCGAGGCCAATTTTGAACCCGTGGGTATAATTTGAACAAGTTTTTGTAGAGTTGTATTAGATTATGCTACACATGAAATATCTAAGCTCTCAGCCTTGCCCTTTCAGAGAAGATTATTTTTTAATATTTTATCTTAAAAATCTATTTTAGCCCTTTTCACACAGATGTTCAAAAGAGAAAAACCATTTAACAATTTTAGAAGAACTTGATGCTAGGAACATCAAAAAAGGAAAATTCATCAAATATGGCCCAGTGGTTTATGAGAAGTAGTCGTTTGTGAAAACGTTGACGACGGACGCACGGAAGCACTGACTAACGATAGAGGTCGACAAAATATGATCACAAAAGCTCACCTAAAATGCAAGAGACATTATGCGATGGGTTATAATTCTTTCTAACCGCTTACCAACCCTCTGACCGACATTCCCCAAATGTAATTACTTTCTTTATTTTCAGGAAGCAGTATAATAACATATTTTATAGTTATATTTGCTTTAGATCATTGAAATATATAAATGTTGTGTTTGGTAACTAAGGACCTAACGTAAGTCTCCATAAATAGTATCTAAATAGTGTTACCCTTTCAAACATATTTGTCTTATTGTTGAGGTCTTCTTTTATTTTTCCCTGGAAGGCTTTGTGATTGAGAATAATGCTGATTATACCATTGAAGTCTGTTTCTGCTGCAGATGCTTTATCTGCATACCCATCTGGAGGCATGAAGCATTTCGCCACTTCCCAGAAATTACCACACCACTGGGTAGCATCAGTGTTTTTGTACGATGGATCAGAGTACCTATGTACATTCTGTATCTCAGTTGTGAAATTATGACATATCTTGTTAGGGCAGCCGGCAGGATTAAACCTTTTTGCAGCATTTCGATGATACCTGCATTTTCCACGTCCAACACTGCATATTTTATTTGTTGGACATTTTACAAGATTTTCTGTACAGCAACTTGAACACAAAGTCCCACTTAATAGTCCATTGCTGTAACATATATCATCTAAGCATTTCAATTGAAATTGCTGAATTTCATTACACACAAATGGTTCAAGTCCTTCTTTAGTATACAACACAGCTAACTGAGCTTTTACCCAGTAACTGTTTTCCTTTTCTAACTGTATAGGGTTAAGTGAAGCCATTTCTTGCAAACTTTGTATCTTTCCCACTTAAAGAATTATACAAGTATACATTGGCATGTCTTGTAAGCTCCGATCTAAACCTGAAAAAGTAAAATCCTAAAGTATATTATTACATTTCAAAAAGAAAGTTTTAAATCATATTAAGACGTAATGCAATATAATTAAATTGAGAAATGTAAACAACCAACAACCTTATGTAAAGATAATAAGGCCATTTAAAGAGAAAGAAAAATAAGATACACGCTTCTTTTGTCAATGAAATACTAAAATCCCTAACAAAAGGCTAGAATGTATTCCCAGAATTGAATCAAATGGTATATAAACTTATAATAACCCCCACATGTCATAGCTGCGTTATATAATTACTCGTTTCAAACTAACACTTACAGAATGTTTAAATTACTTTTCCAATCTTCCATTTGTAAGCTATCCAATATTTAATAAACTGAGTTAAATGTAATCACGGCAATCAAAGAATTACGGAGGATCACAAGTTCAAATACCAGCCACGGCGGGTTTGCAAATTGCTGTAATGATAGTTTGTATCCCAGACAAAACTGCAATTTATGCGACGGTCCAAAAACGTTGTAGAAAATTGAAGATTACGCATTATACCATTAATTATTTCAGATTATTTAACTTTCAATCGCATTGTACATTGTAGAAAATGTTTGTCATTATACATTGCCAAGCATACATACTTATTTATACATGTTTAACTGACATGCCAGAAAACTAACAATAAATAAATATCTTTGTTTGATAATATTATTTTAAAATCCATACATAGCCTATACAATGCTGAAGAAAAATATAAGGCATATAAGTCCATTTTTGACAAGTAACTAGTGATCTTTTAGAGATGACCCATGCATTGACCATATAAGAGGTTGTGCACGTTTAATCGATTTCCTTGGTATTTAACTGATCAAACGTTTAAATATTTGTTTTTTATTTCCAGTGGTCTTTTGTTAATGATTGCTGACATCCTTTGTCGTTTCAGTTCCTTTCTCACTAAACTTATTAATGTTAAATGAATAAAGTAATGTGTAATATCAAGATATTTTGCCGCCGCCGAATAATCAAACAACGTCAAAACACCAGGGTAATGTAACACTTGTTTTCCACACAGAGTGTCAACTATACGTATCTTTGAAGAGGCAAGAAAGTTGTTTCTTAATATAAACAAATTAAATCATATAATCTGCTCTATAGTTATATATGTTATCCAAATTGATCACATAAACCGCGGCGCAGGAGTGTAATAAAGCCATTAAATAAAAACGATATTACACTAGTGTAATAACACTTTGACGTGACGTCATTTGCACTATATATAAACATAGCGTTAAGACGCGCTAATGTTAGCGTTTCACTATAGGCGCGTCAATGGTAAAATGACTCTTTTTAACAGTTTACTGTTCTTATTTTATATATGTGATAAAAAGAATATTATATTCGTGTAGAGTCAATACTAAATTTATTGAACTCGTTGAATAAAACAATATTATGCTCGCCAGTATTTCTTTGATAGCGAGCATAAACAAGACAGAAGGCCATTATATAATACTTAATAATTATATTAAGATAAAATGTTATGATTTAGTTTGAATTTAACATAAAAATCATTGCATTGTTTTCTTGCAAAGGTAAATTATTAATATGCTGAATGAGAAAGTATGAACCTTTAGTGCGATATCTCTCTCCTATATGAAAAACGTTGACATTTATTCATCTCATGACATTTCCCTTTTTATAAAGGGAGGTAATGAAAAAAATATATATTTGCTTCAATAATGACAAAAATGTCCCACTCTAAATTATAATATTAACTTCCTAGTTCGCCTTTGATGTTTTGTGAGACAAGTTTAAAAAAGTCTACTTCTGTTATTGCGTTTGCAATAAGAAATAAAGCTTTAAAGGTATCAAAATTATCGGGAGATTTGGCACAGATAATACGGTCTGGTATTGACATACACATCTTCAACAATGTCCCTATTTACGTAAATTATAGCCCATTTAATGCTTGTTCATTCAAAATTATAAGACGTAGGATTGTACTGATTGTTTTATTGATTGCTTTGTTTTGTTTTAGATCTAAATATAACCAGTTTATATTTTAAACTACTAAAATGCGTTTTTAAAGATTGTTTTACTTCATTCACAAATGATAAAAATGCCATGAAAATTAACTAATATAGTGACCTGAATGTGATTATATATTATTTATATTGATCTCAGAATGTGTTAACCTACAGCTTTTTGACGAATATATTTTATTGCTTATCATAAAACATGAATTAAAGACATATACAAGAAAATATTAACTAGTTCCCTTTCGTGTCTCAAAGAATACAGGATGACTAAAAAATGTGAATGCCTTGTATAAAAAAAGCCTTATTTTTGTTCAAAGGACGCATTTACTTACTGATGAAATCGGGTTTCTTTCTGGAAAATAATCTTTGGTATACACGTTGATGGTTTTTTAAGTTTTACATTGCGTAAAATATATTCCCGTTACACCAACCCAGTATGCTCTTAACCACCTTCCTTGATCGACCAACTTCCCATTTTTGTGATTGTTATCCAAACAGAAATACAGACTGAATGATACAGTGTTAGCCATTTCAGCAGACCCAAGTTCATAAATAGATAAACTTAAGAAGAAAAACTTCCATATGAGTTCAGCAAATGAGTTCAGCAAAATGTTAATGTATTTCTATTATATAGATGACTTTACAATTGGAAACTAAGCTTTCCACTTTTGTTTACATCTTAAAAAGTGTGCAATGTGGTGTACTATATGAAAGACAGTTCTTAAAATGCAAGGGTGCATTCGTTAACTGCCTTGTTTTCAAAACTTTCTGTATTCATTTTCAAAAATGCAACCATAGTTCGACCTGACTACTGTATACTATTTGTATTTATTTTCTCATCTCAATAGAATGTATTACTCTTTTACTAATGTGACGGAAAACAGCGTACAATTTGATAAAATGTTTCATATTAAACAATTTAACTTATCTGATTTGATGAAATTAGATGTGTTATGACTACCAATGGCTTTGGGTATAGTATAAGTATCAAAGAGTAAATCACCGTATTTTCTGGTGCTGCAGGTGCGCGCATGATGCTGCAGTTGTTCGCTTTTTCATAGCTAAGTAATTAAAATGGTTGCATGGGTCTTGAACGCATTTAACTTTTTTAAATTACAAAAATCATTCTCTACATGTATATTTTATTATGTGATAAAAATCCTTTTTCAATGAATCTCTGATAGTGGGTTTTATTTCTATACTTCATTTCGCTGAAATTATATTTTCAGTTATTTGACAACTGTAATGAACGGGTGTATTCCATTTAACTAGTCCATTGAACTAGTAAGTTTGCAAAAATGAAATAAATGATACTGTTTTTGAGCAATGTTTCTTATTTTATTCAATAAAACATCAATTTTTAAAAGCCTTAGTGTTGAAATCATTTTTGTTCTTTAGGATTTGCGAAATTTAAAATAAATCGAAAACACTTTTTATTTTGGTTTAAATCAGTCAAAGTAAATCGCCCTTTTTTATTAAAAAAAAATTTTTAAAAACACTAAGCCCGGTTTTAAAATGTATTAGAAATGTTTTTTTAAAAAAAAATTGGGTTTGGGCGCGGCTGAAACCGCATTGACCAAAAAAAAATTTTTTTGGGAAGCCCACACTAATAAATTTTTGGGGCCTATACCCCAAATTTTCCTTTGATTTTTTTAAAAAATATTTTAAAGATGGAGACAATGATTTTTATTGTAACTGTTTCCCCTATAAGCTAAAAAACTTTTTGGGGTTTTTTTGTTAAAAAAATAGAACGTATTAAAATCACTTCACAAATTTAATAAGGATAAGACGTAGACCTGAAGTATCATGCTTCCATTTGTAGCACTGGATAATTATAATAATAATAAATGCTGTTTTCGTGGCGATTTTGTGTTGTAGGATAATTTCTGGCAAGGAACATGTGATATTATTAAAAAAAAAAGAATTAAAAAATAGGTACATGACATTGCGGACACTCACAAAATATAAGAACAAAGATCAGCAAGGTGAGGCGACTTTCGATGAACGGAGCAATCAATATAACACTAGATTAAGAACATGCTGATTGAATCATAGATTAAGGGAGAGAGAGACTTGACAGATACAAAAATAAATGTTTTGTGAATCTGAGCATTTTTTATTGGCGTCCGCGCCGAAGCGCGACGCCCTTATGGAATGAAATCAGATTTTGTGAAAGGGCAATTGCAACTTCTCGAGCCTTTTCGTCGGCCATAATAGCCGAACATTCCGATTGGTATGAGTTTTTGATTATCAAAAATGAAATGTCGCGATATGTAAAATTTATAGCGAACTTGGTAATTTCGCAATTATGTAAACATATTCAAATTAAATTATCTTACCTGTCAATTAATCGCGCTCTTTGGTATTTTTATTAATCATTTTGTAGTACACAATAGGTTATGATGTGTGTAATTGCTTAACCTATAAATAGAATGATGATCTGAAAGTCCGAAAATCTATTTATAGAAGTACTTTTAGTTTATCGAAACGGTCATTTGTGTCGCAACGAACTTGAGAATTTTGCAGGAAATGAAATGCAATCTGTAAGTAGGCAATTTTTATGAACTGTTTTATCATAGTGTTATCATTCTTCGTCTGCAATTTTAATATGAGTTTATTGATAGGCATGTAAACACAATGATGGGTCAGACTAGGTCATTAAATAGTAGATTGACCTCCCAAATAAATCAATTAACAGTCTTTGTTCATTTTGACTATTATGTAATCAATTAACAGTCTTTGTTCATTTTGACTATTATGTTGTATGTTCCAAAGAAAATACCGCATAAACTTGAAATTCTGTCAAATAACCAATATTAATGATAATATCCAAAAATATCCCTATATAGTATAAATAAACTTATACCATATAGGGGGTATATTTTGGATATTATAGACCTGTATATTTTGGATATTATCGTTAACATTGATAGAATTAAAGTTCCTGTGGAAAAAACATTTAATATTCAAATCTCTAGCA